CTAGTTCTCTGTATCGCACCTCGACGTGCACGGTAAATGCTCAAAGCGAGGAGCTATTTTCAGTTAATGCAAAATAGGGGAAAACGGAAAATCCGCACGGTACCCTTGTCGTTGATAAACGGTTGAGTTTATTACTGCGTCGTATCATAAATTCGATAACGATCAATGTCTAAGATTATTACGTAAAAGAGATGTACAATCTACGTTTCATTCCCACTTTGAATTTAATTCGTATAATCTATTGTCTAGAACAGTTTAATTGTAAATCTCTAATAATATTGGTTTATGCAACGTGCGATATTCCTTGATAATCTTCGATGACGCGACATCCGGCTAATCCGGTGTTTGCATGTGAATTATAATTTAATCGATAAATTAAGTTGTAGAAAAAGAAATGAAACTGGATGAAAAAATAGACAAAATATTATTCGATACGTTGTATTTAATTACTGACAATGAAAGCGGAATAAAAAAATTTCATCATGCAAATATGACCGAGAAAGTGCGAAAGAATTTCAGCCTTCGCTATTCTTCCTAAAGAACGATCTTCGCTTCGTCAGCTCGCGGCGAGCCGTTATTAAAATTACATCAGCATCGACGTTCCACTTAATTGTTTCGTGGAGTTCTGAGAATACGATGGCGAATAATTCGTTCACTGTCAGCTGGTTTACATGTACGTATCACAATGGTGCTTTATGTGCTAGTATCATTCATGTACCAATTCACGTAGAACCCTTAAACCTTAGTAAGAAAATAAATAAAGTACTATTCCATACGTTATAATTTTCTGCGTTTTGAAAATTCTTTGATTCAAAAATATTTGAGTGGTAAAAAACGACGGAAAAATAAATCGTAATGAAATAAAATAAGATGATAACTAATAAAACCGCGAATTCTCTGGGACTTGATCGTTCGTTTAGATAATCTCGATGTTTGTCAAGAATGATGAGATCGAAGCAAAATTAAATATATCACGTATTGACCGTGCGACAATTTTGATAACGATATATTTATTTCAGACGCGCTTACATCATTTTATCGTTATTTTCATGCTATGTCGTAAGCTTAATAATGGTAAACAATAATGTTATTTAGTAAAATTTATCTTTCCACTCTTCCTTTCATGTATTGAAATGTATATGACGATGCCTTACACGTGTGCTTCTATTTTAATCCATCGTCCCGTTTGCCTTTGCAACATGTTTAACTTTACCTTCTCCTATACCTACACACATACAAGCGCGTTCCAACAATAACATGCTCTCGTTACATGACTCGGAACTAATTTCGCATTATTTAATTTATTAAGATATTAATAATCTCATATCATTCTTAAGAACAGGGACTAAGTTTGCCCGTAATATTTATCGGTTCTTATTACTCATAAAAAAAAAAAAGAACTTCATAGAAAAAGATATGATGAAAACAAAACACGCTTATTTATCATAAGAAAATGGATGTGACTTAGACTTTTCCAGCATATTTTTACATACTTTTTCATATTTCATATTTTACGTAAAAGGAAGAATAATTCGGTTCTTTAAATACCGCAATAGCAGTTGCGAGATTTCTCGCGACTGCTCGCGCAGATCGTTGCGTGGCCGCAATCGAAAGCCCCCGCATGTGTCGCGCGTGTTTTGCGATGTGAATTTAACAGATCATAAATTTGCGCCGCGCGACGTATAAAAATGGAGACATTATTGTCCTATTCGCGCTCCCGTGAACGGGCAGTTTCAAGAGGACCCGAACCGCGCGAGGAGCTCCTCAATCCTCCTCTTCCGCGTTAGTCAATTCTGACCGCCACCTGTGGCTTCGCGCGCGCGTCTTTCACGGCCACCTCGAATTCCTACGTCGTCGACCGCCTTCGAAAACCGCGTGCCACGACACACGACACACGCACACGCGCACGCACGCGCGCACACATAGAGCAGAGATAGATAGACAAGTACCACGACGCACGCGGAGCGCGGCGCCGCGCTCTCGCAGTTAACACCTCGCGAAAAATAAACATATCGTGCTGCGATAAGCAGAGCGGACGCGCGCGGTCTTCAAGGCCATCTTTGAAATTCCAGTTCCGTTTCAGATCATCGCCGATAATGGGAGAAGGGAGGGGAAGCTCAGACAAAGGTTTGAGAGATAATCGAACATCGGAATAGTGCAGAAGAATATTATAATGAACTTTGGTTATCGTAAATTGAAAAAAATTACGATGTTATTATATCAAATAAAGACTAAAAACGAACAATTTGGATATTAAATTAATACATTATATGTATTAATTTTTAATATTTAAAATCATGTACAAAACTGAAATCGGTTCAATTAACATAGAGTCTTCATTAGTTCATAAATCAATAAATAACAAAACGTAATAAGATAGTTCAATTTTACATATTAAAGAAATAATATTCGAATGTAAGAATTGATTTATGAACGAATTTATAAAATATTGTTTATCTCAAAATTGAACACTTCTTTTACATCGAGTGTAATGAATTTTACATTGATATTTGTAAGACAAATTTGTTTCTAGACTTCATATATTGTTGCAAAAAAGTGACAAAGCTATTAAGTATTTGCATCGCAATCAGTTTTATTGCATTTTGCAATTATTATTAATTGATATGCATTTAAATATTTATGAAATATTTCAAAGATAATACGATGACTGATAACACGACTGCGAGACAGAGAGAATTAATGCACGTTGCGCCCGTCACGTCGCGCTTAATCGAACAATCGCATTGAAAAAAATTTCCCGACAGATTGTTGCTCGTCGAAAGATGAGAGGTGACACGGTAATTTCCTTCGAGCGAGATAAAAGTGTGGAATAACGACAGACGGCGTGATTCGATTGGCAATTTCTCGACTACTATTGGCATTTTTATTTTATTTATTTCGGATTTTACGCAACGATATGGATGAAAGATCACGGAAAGATTAGTTTTATCTCTCGCACGCGTGCGCTCACGCGTTATCTCGGTACCGTGCAGTGAAGCGCAATTATTTTCGTCCAGTGTCGACAACGACGACGGCAACGACAACGACTCAATCGATCTCTCGTGTCTGACAGCGAACTACAGATAGGCACCAGCGCTGTCAGTCGAAACGCTACCAGCTACGCACAGACGAACCAATAATGTAGAACCAAATTCGAGCACAACTATACGTAACGATATCGATATCTATCTGATATAATAGGTCGCGTTGTTTGAAATCCTAAAAAAATTTTGCATTTAGAACCAAGTAAATATAGATTTGGAAAAAAGTTGAAAAGAATTAAAGAAAGAAAAGATAACTGACTGCAAAAAGTGCACAAATCTAAAAGCGAAGAATATCTAATTTGATAACACCGTCGAAAAATTTGTGTTAAGTTTAACGTATTTCACATGTCCTAAATAGTTTAAATTTATGTGTTAATTTAACACAAGATGAATCCGTTAAATTACACAAATATTACGTAAAAAGAATAAACACCAAAAAAAAATACTGACACAGTTTGTAAACAAATCATGAAAGCATATTTTTTTTCAGTAAAATTAATATTTATGATATGTTAAATTAATATATTTTATTCTTTAATTTTAGAATTTACGTTTTAAAATACATTAAATTAATTTAACGGTATTCGCTTACTAATAAATTATGTTAGTTTAACGTTAAGAAATATTGTATATCAATTTAACATAAAATTTTCGAATAAAAATCACATTATGTTAAATTAATACTCGGACGCAAAGTTTTAATAAAAACTTGAATGGACATTTCTAACAGAAATACAAAATATTTTTTACTGTGTATAGTATTTTCGTATGCGATATTTTTCAAGAATACGGCTCCTAATCAATTCCATTTTTTTTTTGAGTTTCTTAAGAGCAGGATTAACAGTTTTAAAAATCTCTTCTATTTCATCTATTTTTCTTTATTTTATGAATGAAATTATTTGACTTTTAAATAATTCAAATGTCTAAAGCATTTCTTTTCGCGTCTCTTTATCACATTAATGGTGATTGTTGCCGGCAGAAATCTGACTGCGCGAAATAACCGTCTGACGCATAACTCTATAAAGAATTACAGACGTATACATATGTAACAACAACATTACATATTAATATTTTTGGAAAACTACGCTTTACAAGATTTCAATCCAAACTGAATGTCTGAATGTCATCATATGATAGAAAATATTATTTTTGAAAACACGCCATGAATCGCCAGGAAAAATTATGCTGAGACTTCGATATTTCTAGGAAATATAAATAAATCGAAACATCGTAGCAGCGTAGTTATGTGACAACACTGGCGGATCCATGGCCATGGTTACCCCCCTTAGAGTCTTCTTTTTTAAAAATATTTATAGCAAATGTTTTTAATATTTCTGAAATGAATTATAATTTTGAATTATAATTTTGATAATTTTGATAATCCAAAATATTTTTTAATTCAAGAAACTTTTAGATGTGAAAAATATAGCTTCCATTATATTATTCGTTCTTTATATTAATATAATTTTAAAAAGCATTAAATTTTTTATCTATTATGAATTTAATTTGATGGTAGGGGGTTCGAATTAATGGAAATAATTTAAAATAAAAGGTTTTATAATAAATTATACATTTAAATAATACTTTCTCAATGTAATAATTTAAATCATAATTTAATATTCTATTTTTTCGTATATATTAATGATATTTAAAAAATTTCGCTCGCGACGCGCCGATGGCCCTCTAGAAAAGGCCCTCTTTCTGAATCCGCCAGATACGTGCCAGGAAGCTTAATATCGGGTCACTTACAATTAATTCATCGTGTTTTTATCACTTGGAAATCAGTCGGGCCGCCATGCGACTCCGTATACCACGCGACTGTCATCAGTCGCGTTAAACGTCAAGATACGATGACGAGAACGCGTGTACGTGTCGCGTCGCAATTTTCGGCACCACTCTCAAACTCTCTCAGCACCGGCAACATCGACGCGCGCGCATGTTTACGACGATACTTACTACGCACTGTTTTCGCCGGCGAAAACGTTCTCGTCTTCCAACACAAGCGAAGCGTCGTCCTTTTCGACGTCCGAGGCCGTTCGGTGTCGAATGGTAGCGGTGAGCCTCACCTGCAAGTGAGGCTCCGAACGGCCCTTTGTCCCTCCGATCGGCCCTTTTTCGGGGGACCTTCGGAGAAGTGAGGCACACGCGAGACACCACGCCGGGGCACTCGCTTTTGCAACTCTCTGCCCTCAATTACTTATCCATCAATGTACGCGTTTGATTATTACACACCTCGGCCGGGTCACACACGGTAATCGCTAATCGCGATATCTCCCCCCCTTTACTTATCGGTTCGTTCGTTCGCTCGCACGCGCGACGAGCAATCGCAACACTCACGCGAGGCGCGAGCCGGGACTGACTCGAGGCGCGACTAGTCCGTCGGTTTTATACGAGTGACTGGTTTCCCCCGGCGGCACACGACGCGTACGACGCGTACGACGCGTACGTACGTACGTCTCGAAGGAACAGCAGCCACCGGCCATATGCTACATTGCTACCTGCCCGCCAGCTGCGCCGCTTCGACCATCCAACTGGACACCCCGAAATTTTCTTTGCCATTTGCCGTTTGCAAATCGCTTCTTTCCTGCCCCCCCCCCCCCCCCCCTCCTCTCTCTCTCTCTCTCTCTCTCTCTCTCTTTTCTTTCCTTTTCTCTTTCTCATCAGTAAACTGACAAGTAAATCTTAGGGAATGTCAGACGCCGATTTTTTTTACAACTTCTTACTCTCTTTTACAACTTCTAAATTTCTTTTACAACTTCTATATTTCTTTTACAACTTTTAAAAATGTCCCTGGAGTAAAATCTCGTTCCAAAAATGAAAGAATAAAAATCTACCACTCTTATTCAAAAATACAAACGTTTTCGCTCTTTTCCAATATTTTAATTCCTTTCAAGTGAGATTTTACTCCAAGAAATATTTAGAAAGTATGTATCAAAGTTGAAAAAAATCTTAATTAATTTTAGCTTATTAAATCTTTCAATTAAAATATTTTTGTTATTTTACATAAATATTCAATTTAAGCTATAATTAATAATAAATTTCTTCACTTTGACATAAGAAACAACTGTTAAAAAATTAAAGAAAAATCGGCGTCTAATGTTACTTGAGGTTTATTTGTTAGAGAAAAAAAATAATTACAATTATCACAATTTAACTATAATTTATACCTATATTTATCTCTTTTTTGGGGACAATATATTTATAGTTCTTTTAATTATGCAAATATAGTCAATTAATGCTGTTAATAATAGTCTCAAAAAAATGTTTGAAAATCTTTAGTTTTTTCTTAACATATTTTTTAATTATTATTACCACATATAAATAGGTAAATTAAAAAAAAAAAGTTATATTTGCCACAATTACAATTGCATTTACTGAATAAAATTGTTAATTTTATTTACACCATTTATATATTGACATTTTAATATTTAAAATTATCATAATTTATAGCACAATTTTTTCATGATTGAGAGAACTATCGTATATGATTATTATTCTTAACATTACAGCAGTAATAACCATAAAAATGGAACTCCTAATTATAATTATTTTACTATGCAATTATACTCACAAATACTAAACATTTTTCTCTCAGTATAAATTCGCAATGACGTTCTAATGTAATAAATACTTTCCACTTTCGCACAACAGATTGACTGCCTCTTCCTACGCTTTTTCCGGATTCGCGGGCAATTTTTCGCAGAATACGGTGAGTCGTGCGAAACGCCGAGATACCGGAACGAGATTTTGTTTACATGCCTTTACACTAAATAATGCGATCCAATCTTTGAAGCGTCCAGAATAAGTCGTTTGTAGTGAGTGCCAATTTCATGAATATTTCTATTTTTGTGTGTGTGTGTGTGTGTGTGTGTGTGTGTGTGTGTGTGTGAACATTTTGATGTATATTATTATAATTGCGTGTTACATATTCACCGCGGCAACTCGTATTTAAGTTCTGCAAATATTTTGAATATTTCATGGTAGGTAGGTAAATATGACGATCGTTGCTCGTTATAATTTGTTGATTATCTCAATAAAAAGTTAATCCAATTTGTTTAACAGCGCTTGAGAGTTACAAGTATGAATTTTCATGGATATATTTATTAATACTTTTTAAATAAAATATTAGAATTAATAATAATAATAATTTCAGTAAAATAATTTTTATAGAAGCAGATTGCACTTTTTTAATCTATTTCTACATAATTGATTATTCCTATGTGAGTAATTTCATTTATTTAAAAAAATATTTCCTTCAAATTTTTATTACATAAAATATATAAATTTTAAAAATAATATATTCCACAATTTTTATAAAAATCACTTAAATCTGAAAATACATAGAATAAAATCGTATTTTGCTTTTTCCAGTTAGTAAAATGATTTAAATTTTATCGCTATATCGTTATTTATATCTTTTTATGTATCACGAGTGCGAACAGCTTTGATGAGCGGCTCTAAAAAAAAAGGAAACCATTTCAAAATTATGTAAATCCAAAAAAATCTTATCTAATTCTCTCGTGTGTGGTCAGGTAGAATATTCTTTTATCTGCACTCTTCATCATCCTCGAAGCACGATCTTATATCCTCATGAATAAGGATAGTCACTGCATTATGAGTCACTCGCTAGAGGGTATCGATATTACTACAGAATATCGATCGATGAAACTTTTGCGCCCAGCATCTTTTCAAGATACCTATTAATCATTCCCTTTGATACTTATTAACTTTAATGCGCAAACTTTCTTCGCGAGCGCGAGTATCGATATCCCATTAGTCTACAAAATCCTGCTGCACGCGCCTCGAGATGCAAATTACGCGCGTGAGTTAACAACAGGAGACGAAACTTTGCACGTGTCGCCTGTGTGATTCATTCGCATGCTATCAGATATATTTACGAACTCGACGATCCTGGTAGTAGTGGTAATTCATGTAATAGTCTTATTTCCCTTTTGCCGCATGCTTCGCGACTTCACTGCGAGCATAGAATTTTGGCAAGCTTCGTGGCCAATGCCACGATATATTCGCGCTTCCACCTCTTTAACCCCTTTAAATTCTGCGTATACATTGTGATACATTTCAAATTTGAAGACATCGTCTGTTGAAATTATTCTTAATAATTCTATCGAGATCTGTACATAATAATATAATAATCAAAATTTTGAAAAAAGAATTAATCGTTTAGCATGAATTACTTATTAAAGCGCGTATGAATTGAATTTAAGAAAAAGTGAAAATTAAATTAAATAACACAAAGGACTCTTAATGACCAAAACAATATGAAGCTTATAAATTGGAGTTAAGCATATAAGAGTTATGCAATATGACAAATTATTACATAAAATATACATTATTAAAATATACAATAACAAATTATTGAAATATACATTAAAATATACAAAATTATATTTTAAAAAAATCTTTTTCAACATAGTTTTAACAAAATCAGGTCTGAAAGGATTAAAGTGACATCTACAATGAGATTTTAAAGCATAACACTGAAGCCTTAAACCGAAAAAAATTGATCAATTCTTCTCCTCACATTCGACTGTGATTGGGCATTTTCTTACGGTTTGAGGTTTAAGTTTTACGCCTTAAAATCTCATGATAAAAGCTTAAAATCCTCGTCATCTTTTCTTTAAGAGACTCATTTACACATTTTCGTTTTTCTCTTTCCGTTATCGATGAATTGCTGTTTGTGTTTTAGCTTTACGTTAAACTGTCGTGCTTCGATTGAAAGTATTACAAATACTCTCGCATTCTTTCCATGGGAAGGAATGTTATGTCAACTGAAGCGAACGGTAACGTCAAGTTAAGAGTCAACGAACTCACGATTGATTCCGTCTCTTCCGCCGATTTGTTTACCCACTTCCACGCGATGTAAACGTCAAAGGAACGATCGCCACTTCGAAAGACCACCTGACACAACAATCCGCCGCCTTATTGATATTGTTGCCGAGTTTCTATGGTCGGTTGAATCGGAAAGATCGGAACAGTTTCCGGCGAAAAGCTGTATGCTCCACTTGACCCTTCCGGGCTATCTTCCTCGTTTTCTTTTCGCCGTCTCTTATCCGCGAGCACTGTGAGATGTAAAGGGGTGTTTTCATATAAGAAAGAAAAATTATATTTGAAAGAAAGAGAGAGGATGAAAAAGGAAACAGAGATTGCGACTTTAATAAAATTTTACGAAAAATCTCTGTCAACCTTTTATCGTATAAATTATCTTAATATTCAATTTTTCCATCGAAATAATTCGTTCAGATTTCGGAAGAGAAAAAACGATCGCTTACACCAAATACTGCGCTTAATTTAATATCACGAAAACATATACTGTTAGATATATATCAAAGGAGCAATAATAATTCAAGTACCTTAAGTTAAATATATTTTGTTATTTTTAACTTCCATGTGTGAGTTAAAATGTAAATTAACCCATTTCTGTAGTTAGTTTCAAAGTAAATAACGTCTATTTACGTACTTATACTGTTAGTAAATAATGAACTAAATTTTTTTAATCAACTTTAATACATTTTCTTGAGTTAATTGTTAATTAGCATTGAGGGGGAGTGGTAAAGACCTACATAGAAATGATTAAAAATGTTAAAATTGGGTATAATTTAACGTTATGAATTTAACAACGCATGTCTAAATAAACGTCAAAACTTTTCTAAACAAATTATATAAATTTATAAATAAAACTTTTTACTGCAGAACTGCAGCTTTTTAATACTACTGTACAAAGAGAGGAAGTTTATCTATAATCAAAGCTGAGACGTCGGTGCAACTGATCCTAGGAAAAAAAGCTCGGTGATACGCCTTACTAAGAGAAATTTCTACTACGTTGCTACTCCTCTTATAAAGAATCATTGCGGCAAGAAGTGTTCGACTCCATATTCGCGTACCAACACACGGGGAAAGATCCTGCCATCGTCAGATCTACGTAAGCATCTAACCGCCTACCTCGGGCGCTCTTCGTAAGATAACGTGCGTCAGAGCCTTCCAAAGACGCGACGTTTGCTCATAGAAAATTGCCTCGACGTGCACCAAGAGAAACAGAGAGAAAGAAAGAGAGAGAGAGAGAGAGAGAGAGAGAGAGAGAGAGAGAGAGAGAGAGAGAGAGAGAGAGAGCGTGATAGTAGCTCTAAAATCTACCAGAGTATACGTCTGTATACGTTTGCGAGCGAGAAGCGACGACTATTTAGCGAAAGAGAGAGAGCGTAAGGTCGAATTTCCCAAACTCGATGCACTGAACGACAAGTGCGGGGAGGAAGGAAATGCCGCACTCGGCTTTGCGACACGTGTTGAACTACTCCGAAGGGAGTACAGTTAAATACATATTTGAGAACGTCATAATTACATCGTTCTGGGAGTTCGCGCTCCGTAGTCTGTTCTACTGAGTGAGTGTACGAGTACATTTATTACGTGCGTTATGAAAAAGTAGTTTTCCGTGTTTGTAAATAAAGTAATATACTGTCCTTTGTGTGATACATTTAAAAATTAAATCATGGATTATTTTCTATTTTTTTTTCTAATTTGAATAATGATAGATTATCTTAAACGTTACAATATAATCGAATTTACGATTATCAACACAAATG